GGAGGTGGCGGATAGATCGATATTGCTCGATGATGTCACGCGTGGTCGCTGACTCTCCCTGTCCGGCATCCTGTTGTGAGTAAAATTTTCACGTAGAAAAATAGCTACGAGTATCCGCTTAAGCCTCGGGTAATTCTTACGTTGTATTTATCGGTGGCCGCGTCGTAAATCGCAGATTTGCAGTGGCGAATTTTTTCAAAAATAATGCACATACCTGCTTCGCGTTGTGGTATGCGCGAATAACAGAGAATGAACCCGTCGACGAAGTGATATATCTTTGGATTTTTATAGGTCTCTGTCCATAGATTAATTAATCAATGTGCTATAACACATGTCATAATTAATTGATAAACTTAAAAAATTTTAATTTTTTTTATGAATTCTTGTTTTCTTTATATAAACTAGAAAATTGTTTCTGTGTCTTGTAATTTATGTTTATTTACCTGAAATATTTTGATGATATAGCCATCGATGATACCCTTATCTTAATAAAAATAAAAACTTGGTTTGAAATCTTTCCAATAATCTAAATCATTTTTGTTATACTTGTAGGATATTCTCTAATGTAATGTAATTGAAATAAATTAAAATTTTAGAACGGAGCATGGAATGGACGGATCATGCCCACTCCTCTTTCCCAGCTTCGGAGAGCAGACTGGCTCTGAGCGGGGAGGAGGCTACTCATCGCAGAAGGTATACAGGCCAGGTTCTGATGCCATCGACTTGGGTTATCACACCCTTGACAACAATGCTTGCCGCACCACGTCCTCATCGTCCTCGTCAACCCCGGGTGTGCCCAGCCGTCAACAGCAACAGCAGCCACCACAATCTAAGCATTTGATACATTATTCTATAGTTAGCGACTTGTGCCAGCTGGATGACAATCTGCTTCTGAGGATTTTTAGCTGGCTCGACACCCGAGATCGCTGCGCTCTGGCGCAAACATGTCGACGTCTTTGGGAGATCGCGTGGCACCCGTCCCTCTGGCGAGAAGGTCGAGGTCTGCTATCCGCAAAACGCCACCACGGCGTTGAACGCGCTGACGCGTCGCGGCTGCCACACCTGTATTCGCCGTTTGGTTCTGGAAGGCGCTACCGGTTTACCTGGCATCTTCGTCCAATTGCCGTATCTCAACCTGACGTCCCTAGTGCTGCGACACTCGCGACGTGTCACCGATGCCAACGTTACTACGGTGCTGGACAGCTGCGCCCATCTTCGCGAGCTTGATCTGACCGGTTGCTCCAACGTTACACGAGCCTGCGGTCGTATGACCACCTTGCAGCTGCAGTCGCTCGATCTCAGCGATTGCCATGTGTCGAGGACTCTGGTCTGGTGTTAAGTCTGTCGCGCATGCCGCACCTCGGATGTCTTTACCTACGTAGATGCACCCGCATCACCGACGCCAGCTTGGTAGCCATCGCTTCCTACTGTGCCAGTTTGCGCCAGCTGTCAGTGTCAGATTGCGCGAAGGTGACGGATTTTGGAGTACGCGAACTGGCGGCGCGTCTGGGTCCTTCGCTCCGTTACTTCTCCGTGGGCAAATGCGACCGGGTGTCCGACGCCGGTTTGCTGGTCGTCGCCCGTCACTGCTACAAGCTCCGTTATCTGAACGCTCGCGGCTGCGAGGCGCTCAGTGACAGTGCGACCATCGCCCTGGCACGCGGATGTCCACGTATGCGCGCCCTGGATATCGGGAAATGCGACATCGGCGACACGACGCTCGAGGCACTCTCCACAGGGTGTCCCAATCTAAAGAAGCTGTCCCTATGCGGATGCGAGAGAGTGACGGATGCCGGTCTCGAGGCCCTGGCTTATTACGTACGTGGTCTGCGACAACTCAACATCGGCGAATGTCCTATGGTCACGTGGATTGGCTACCACGCAGTCAAACGCTATTGCAGACGTTGCATCATCGAGCATACTAATCCTGGATTTTCTAGTTGATGTTCCAGCCTACGGTGTCTTATATCGAAGTAATGGTATAAAGAGGTATTCTCTAGAAAGAATGTATTCTGAAAAAGAGAATATTTTTTTAGAGAATTTTTATATGAATATAAAAAAGAACAGATTTGTAGATATTTTATATTCTGAAAGATATAAAGAATAAGAATGTATTGAGAATATTTTGTAAGAATATTTTTTACAAAAATATATCAGAATATCTGGGAATATACTAATTTTAAGAGTAATATCTAAGAATGAGAATATTCTCAGAATATTTAATCATCTCACGTCACCAGTTCCAAGTGCCAGAGTGTAATATAAGAAAAGTTTGTAGGAAATTGTAAATCTAATTTTTTAAATTTACGTTTATTAATGATTATAAATGTTATATCTTTTGATACCATGTTAATGAGAGAAAAATGTAGGATGAATTTGAGACTTAATAATTTGTATCGTTTGGAATCTATTTATTAACATATGCAAATATTATTTTACAAACATCGCTTGCAAGTATATATTAATTTGTAAAAAGGTTATTTGTGTTTCATTGGTTGTAAAAATATATACATATATTCTGCTTCAAGAAAGTCATGGCTACTATTTATTGTATTTGTAATTTAACGTATTACATAAATAATATAAATCATTGGTAACTAAATTTTGTCTAATTTATTGTAGTTACAGGATAAGATATTAAATATACTCATTTCTTAACACCATTAAATTATGTAAATTGATTATATAGCATGCTTTTTACACAATATGTATAGAAATGTATGCAAGTAAAATATATCCCTAATTAAAGCAAATCATTTTTTTAGGAATACAAAATATTTTACATTTCAGATTTATATCGTTACAAATGTTTTTTTATTGCTAGATTAATGTAGTTTTATAATTATAAAATAATTTTATTATAATTTGTGCAAGATTATATAAATGGCATTTTTTATATAAAATATATATTTAGTTTTATTTAATATATTTAGTTTTTTTAGTTTTATTTTTTGATCAGATCTCTGTTTCAACAAAAATAAATATAGCTAAATAAAATATATAGCTAACAGTATTAAAAAGATTTATATAAATGGCATTTTTTTATATAAAACATATTTAGTTTTATTAATATATTTAGTTTTTTAGTTTTATTTTTGATTAGATCTCTGTTTCAACAAAAATAAATATAGCTAAATAATATATATAGCTAACAGTAAGATCTTAAAGTTACACATTGCAAGGTAGTCTGGACAAAATCACGATTCAGCCAATCACATTCGTATACTTGGTTTTGCGACAAAATGCGTATCCGCCTTAAGAAGTCCCCGAATGACACTGCGCAGGCGTGCGACTTCTACTTATATTTAATAATCCATGGTTACACAAAGGAGACGAGAGACGATTAACGAACAATTATCAAGAAGCTGCATTAATAAGAAATACCTGCTCCAAGATTTATCTCTTGCAATCGACTTGCAAAAATCAAGTAAGCAATTATTCATAGAGTTTTCTGAAAGATAATATATCTATATTTTTATCGTACATATTATTTACGATCGATGAAACAATCAAGAACAATAAATAATGTGTTGAGAAATGTTGGTCCGAAGATTTATTTCTAGTCGCCATTTAAAAATTATGTATATATGTATACATATATGTAATTCGCGTATATTTTTCCGAAAACAGCATCGTGTTGATATCATTATTTCGTGTTTTGCATCGAACAAAAAATGAAATTTACTTTAATAGCGAAAAAAACGCGCGAGCGGAAGTTTTGCGTTCGGAATTTCGGCGGCCGTTATTTGTACATATCTGCATTGTTTCGACGAACGCCTGCGCGAAATTTCCTTCGGAAACCCGCGGGCCTTCGGGTAGGGGTAGCGCGGGATTCAGGGGTAAAATTGCACGATGGTTGAAAACCGCCGCTGTATACCAGTCGTACGTAGGCGATCACGCGGTTAAGCAGGCCTTCTCAATTCATGTCGCCGTCTCTCGTCCTATTTCTTCGATACGGTCTTCTCTTGATCATCGCCTTCGGGAATGGTGAGCATTCGATATATATCACTTACGAAGCATTGCATTTCAATTTATCGATTTATGCGTGTGTAACTGTGTATGAAATAGCAGCAATAAATTCATTTATAGCGAAAAAACTACAAGAATATAAAAATTATTGATATGATCATTCTTCAATAATATATTATGAAAAACTATTATATTATACCATAGTAGTTTTTTCGGGTCTTGTTTCTGTTATTGTTTTTCTTTTCTTTGTGGCGGTTGTTTTAAATATCGATACACTGATATTTTTGAATTATAATTTTTATGATGAGAAAATTAAATAGTTCATGCGCGGGAATTAGTTTTAAGAAAAATTAATAGAATTAATCTATAAAATTAATTAATGAATTTATTCATAATGAATTAATAAAATCTTTTTCTTTAATTAATTTCATAGGTTGAGTTTTTATTTTTATGTAAAAAAATTTTTTAGTTAAATGGTAAACTTTTACTTTTAATGAAAAATTTTCTGTACATACACATTGCAAAAGATAAAAAAATTTTGGTAAAATATTATATTTATTTTTATATTTATACTCAATTAAAATAATTATACATATATTGAGGAAACGATAAATTTATAAGAAATAAATTTTAAAAAATTTAATTCCAGAGTTTTAAAATTACTTAATAAAATACTCTAACATTTTTTGTTTAAAAATTAAGCTCTCTATTTAAGAGTAGAAATTCTATTAATTTGATAAAAATAGAGAAAGATTAATAATATTTCAAAAATTGAGGACTATTGAGACATGGTTGCCATTTTTGAAATGTATCTTATGAAAGCTAATTAATGACTTGCTCTCTTTTTTCCTATAATATTCAATAATCTCGGAAGCTAAGAAAGATGTAGGCCATCAATAAAGTTTCAAGGTTCTCGTGGTACCAAGATACAGCACGTTAGGAATTGTTTAGATATTGTCATGTGTCAAAGCTGGTCATAGCTTTTGCCTGTCACGACTACACAACCACTGATATCAAAGACGTCTGAGATGTAAATTAGTGACGCGACCAAATTCCAAAGGCCGAAACGTCATTGAATTGCGAGGCCATTTTTAGAAGTGTCCTTCGACAGTTTGTGATTTTTACAATTTCTCCCAACCTTGAAATTTTCAAAGATTTGTTATAATAATGCCACAATCTGCACAGTATATATATTTATCTTTGCGCGTATATTAATAAATTATCACAAGATTTTTCTAAAAATATCCTTGAGAAAATAATCAAGTCAATTTAATAAATATGAATATTTGTCATAAATATCTTTGATTGTATAAAATTATCACATTTCGATAGATAATTCTATTAAAAATAATGAGACAATTAAGTGTGAAAGCACAGACAAATAATATTTTCAAATGGAATTTTACTTTTATAGGTATAAATTGATGAGAGAGAAAGAGAAATATAAAAGATCATAAAAAAACTCACAGAACTTTTGATGCTAACCGCAGCTTCCAGTTGTTCAATAATGTTAGTTTCCAATTGAAATCGCGTTATTTCTCTTTTGTAAATTTTTTATTCTTTTTTTAATTGTTTCCAATCTAGATCACGATACATCACGACAGATCACGATCATTTACATTGTTTTAAAATTATTCAAAAATTATTTTTTCAGATAATTGTTTTTTTTTATTAAATTAATGATATTTAATATAATAATGATATATTTAATAATATTTACAAAATATTTATTTATTTATTTTGTAATACAATAATAGTTTTGGTTAAGAAATGAAAGAGTTAAATTATCGAGAAAATCTACAAAAGGGATTGAAAAAAGGGATCCTCGCAATAGAGGCTTTACTTACCCTACAATGTGTGGTTCTCGGTCTTAACCGGACTTCGTTATGCTATGTTGCGTCGCAGCTAGTAGTGTAAACGTTTGCGAATCAGTCGCGTCAAGGGACCATTCGACGCCTCCTCCATGCCATCAAATTCCGTGATCGGGACATCGGCGGAATTTGCATATTCGCTGCCGTGGAATCGTATCCGCGCATGCATTTAGTAAATCGGTTTACGTGTTAGAGTTTGAGGAGACTTTGGCCGAGTACTGGCTATTATTTCATCGTCATTTACGAAGTCTATCCATTAATAGAATGTTATATGGATGGCTGTGTGCAAGAAGATTAATGTTTCTATAACACGTTAAAACTTTCTAGTAAATCAAAGAGAGAAAAATAAAATTAATATGATTCAGCTTTTTATTTTATTTATTATTTCAGCTTTTATTATTTTAATAGCAACGATATTTTATAATGTATTTTATTGTATTGGCATTAATTATATATAATATAATCATTTACAACAATAAATTTAATGTAAAGTATTATACAGAGTTGAAAATTTGTGTTAAATTTAACAGATATTACAAACGGTCTGTAGAAATTTTTGTGTTAATTTAACATAATATATAGATATGTTAAATGGAGACACAAATACTGTGTTAAGATTTTAACACAAAAAAATGCGAAACTTGAATTAATTCAAATAAATTTTGTGTAAAATTTACATAATTTTAATGTAAAAATTAACCAAAAAGATATGTTAATTTAACATTTTATTATTCCTATATTATATTATAAAATAAAAAATCAACATTTTTTCCTGTAAATTTTAACAAATAAATCTTGTCACTAATAAAATAGAACATATTTATTCTGTAAAATTAAAAATAGATTTACAGTGTTTTATTTTTACATCTTTTTGCAGTTGTTTTAATAACTTAACATTTAAGTTCAATTAACACACCAGTAATATGTTAAATTAACACATGAATGTGTTAAATAGTTAACACAAAAATTTCAACTGTTTTGAATAAGAAAATACAAATTTCCTACTGTGTAGAGAAATTAATATTTTTGATATATCTATTTTTAATAATAATTGAGCTATATTTAACTATATATTTGGTCTCATTAATTATCGTTTTGCGATCTTTCATCTAACTTTTACTGTCGCTCGAAATACATGAATAATCAAATATGTATCTTTTGGGAGAGTAATCTTTGGGATAGGGGATGGCTGTCTTCGCATGGTGAATCATTCTC